GTCCTGACTAGAAGACTTGAATTGTAACCTGTTAATTGCTCTAATGAACCCCATAACTGTATTGTTTTGCACCCCAGTAGTTCTCAAACACCCAGGAGCCCTGGTGTGGCACTGTGGGTTAATGCACTGAACTGCAAGGTTAGTTTGAACTGCAAGGTCAGCAGTTCAAGCTTACCACCTGCTCCTTAGAAACCCTAGACAGGGTGGCTATGGGTCAGAATAGACTCGATGGCATTTAACAACACCAGTCCTCAAACATGAGATGAAGAACTGGGCAGTGATGGAACTTGTTTATTTGGTACACATGAAACTGATGGCTATGTGACTATTCAACAAAGGAAACCACTGCTCTGCATCTAGAGAGTGTGTGTGCCTATGTTGTTTCTGGATTTCCAAAACCCAGTGGGCTCCTGCTAGCAAGCCCTGACCTCTCTGAAGCAGTGCATTCTCCTCAATCAGCTCTCTTCTCCTCAGCAAGAAGCTTTGCTTACAATAAAAGTCTCCCTCCCTCAGTTTCCCTGTTGAGTGCAGCTTCCCCTTCCCAAATACCAGGGTCAAACCTGTTGTACTTGTACTGATTTTGTTTGCAGTTCATCTCCACCCTCTTCAAAACTGACATTTTGCTAATACAGCATTGCTCAAGCATAAAAGAGCAACCACATGTGGCCTGTGGAAGTCAGGATGCTAACCTTTACCTTCTATCAATTTACGCAAAACCTGATACCCAGAGATGAGGGTGACCTTTACGCACCATTTCTGTGGCTTTTCTTTGCTGAAAGCTGAGAGGGCAACGTTCTGGTCACCCAGGTACAAAAGTTCAAGAATATGCAAGTTTAATAGTGATGGTCTCAGACAAGACTCACAGCTGCTTCCGCTCCGTCTGGTTTATGTAGGATTACATTCTACTACTGGAAAACATATTCCATATAACCATATGCTTTGGTGAAAAACAAAACTCCATCCTTCTTTCTCAGAAAATAGGCCTAGTTAGGTAGTTGAAATGGCTTTTGAAGGCACAGAAATGAAAGACTCCCTGCTCTTCTCTCTCGCCTGTTCGTCAAGCAGCGCTTACGCTGTGCAGGGCACAGGTTGAAGTCTGTGTGAGAGAAGAACGTGTGTCTCCACTG